ATTTTGTGCAGCTATGCAACTATACTGAATGCAGGTATCTACACATGTGTTGCAGACGGTCACATGTGGTTGGAAACATGGAGGAGAGAATCATTTTCGCAGTAACCTCAAAACCGTGTCTTTTTGACACAACTGCTGACAGCTACATCAACACAAAAAATGGTGCTTGGAGACAAGTGTCCACGATCGTAGGATTGCCAGGTCAGTTTAGTAGTGAGCTTGTTCTAGATGTGGTTAGCTAGCTAACCTAGCCAATGAAGTGTGTATATGTGTGTGTGTGTGTGTGTGTGTGTGTGTGTGTGTGTGTGTGTGTGTGTGTGTGTGTGTATGACACAGGTAGTGTCATAAGTATTGCGACAGTGAAGTAAAGTGGGTCATTTTTGCAGTATACTCAAGTCGGCTAATTGGTATTTTCAGATCAAATGATTAATATGAGGCTAATGTATAGCTGTTGGTTCTGGGTTAGAAAATACCCTGAAACAACAGTTTGCTGTCTAAATATTTGCATGTCATATTCATCTTTTGATCTGAAATACAAATTATATGAGTAAACAGCAAGAATTACCAACTTTACCACACTTTTCCAATATTTATGCCACTAACTACACTATACAAACAGTATTTAGTTAACATAAATCTCATCTTCTATGGTGTTATATTATGTAATGCTTGTATGTGTTGTTTTTCTCTTCCCTTCCAGAGATGGAGTCAAATTAGCCGAGCAGCTCACAGGAAGAACAGGAAGAAGAGAAGGAGTTGTCTGGTTGTTGTTTTGACCTTCCCTCATTGTACCTTTCCTTTCACACACATGTCAATTCAGTCAATTCATAAAGTAAACTGTTGCTAAATTCTTAGGATAGCATTCATTATTAGTGTTACATAGATTTCTGAATTGACTGAATTTAAACTCACACACTGGAGAATTCACAGATGCTCTCGTTGGTCTCTTACAAGACTAAAGGTGAATATATTTATTTCATTTGAAACCACCTGAAAACCAGGGAGTTGAAACTTTTTGTGAAGTTATGTTCCATCGACTGGTCCATGACATCCAGGGGCCATTTGTTTGTTTAGCTGTGTTATGGCTACACATTATTTTTTATTGTTTCAGAGACAGAGACACACACACTCTGCTCTTCTCCTTGAGGCACCTCACATTTCCAGTGCCTCGCCCTTTTATCACCCTCTGCCTGAGAAGGCTGTTGAGATGAATGGTGGTGGCCAACCATAGGAATGGAGCAGAGGCAGATAGAGTGGAGAAGGAAGGCAGACTGGTGATGGGGTGGGTTGACTGTATTACTTTCTCTCTCCATGGGAGAATCTAAACTGTATTTCCTTGACTCCTCACGTCCTCTCTCCTCGCCTCCTTCTCAAAGCCTATTGGAGGCGAAGGTCAGAGAGAGAGAATGTAAGGTTCCTTCACGCTGATCTTCTCCAATGGGTTTTGTGCGGGAGGTGAGGAGAGAGGACGCAAGGAATCAAGGAAATGCAACTGAGATTTTCCAACTGTCCTTATTCGACTTACTATGTCCTTGTTAGTGGGCTTTTTGAGTATACAATTCATGGAATTCATAAAGTAAATAGTTACTCAATACTTAGGATAGCATTAATTATTAGTTGTACATAGATTGCATGAAAACCGACTGAAATGAAACACACACACCAGAGAATTCAGATGCTCTTGTTGTTCTTTTACAAGACTAAAGGTGAAATTTGTGTTTACCTGTATTGTGGCTACACATTCACTTTTAGTTTTTTCAGACACACATACAAACCATTCCTCCACTCCTCTCTGCACTTCAGATCTTCAGTGCCCTGCCCTCTCTCTCTTTATGGCCATGTCTGAAGTCCCCCTGCTATGTCTAGGCTTTATGAGTAGTCCCTGTATCTGTCTGCAGTTGTGCCAAAAATACAATACATGTTTAGCTACACATATATTTTTGTATTTTTACATGCACACACCTCTTTCAATACTTTTCTTTTCTTTTTACATTTTTATAACACATACCTGTCATGTTCTTTCCTGTTCAAAAATGTTCATAGTCAGTTGTTTCATTTGTTTATTAGTATCTCATTTAGACTTAATCTCCTTATTTCCTCCCTACACCTTTGCAGATCTAAGACAAGATGAAGGTAAAAACCCATTCTCTTCCTAATTAGTTTTTTTCCCACCTGCATTTTGACAGACTAGTGAAGATGGTGGAAAACTGTACTATTTGTATGGACCCTAGGTTACACTTTCCCATTGTTATCATACTAACTGTATGTCATATAACCTTAATTAGAGCTTCTGCTCAACTAATGTCCCATGCCAGGTGTGTATAATACTGATGTTAGTGGGAGAGGGAAGGGGTTAAGGTGTGGTCTTTACTCCCAAATGTCACTTAATATAACTTCCAAATGGAGACAATGAGACATAAATTAATCGGAGGAAAAAATGCTCTTTTTTGGATGGTTCTTAAAATAACCTTTGTGTTAGGGGGCTCTTTGTGTGGGCGGCAGGTAGCTTAGTGGTTAAGAGCGTTGTGCCAGTAACCGAAAGGTCACTGGTTCTAATCCCCGAGCCGACTAGGTGAAAAATCTGTCGATGTGCCCTTGAGCAAGGCACTTAACCCTAATTGCTTCTGTAAGTCGCTCTGGATAAGAGCGTCTGCTAAATGACCTATTTATTATTTTTATTATTAAAAGAGCCGTTTCAATCCACGGCATGCTGCCGTGGGATTTCACCTGCTGGAGATGAGAAGTAGGTGGTCAGCTTCTCCCTCACCTGGAGTGCCTGTCTGAGGGCGTTGTTGGCAACTGCCCTGGTGACATCAGGTAGGTGACCATGTGGCGTGCCCATCTCCATCCGGAGCGGCTCCTGGGATGCCCTCTGCAAGTAGTTGTGGAGAACACAAGTGGCCTTCACGCAGGCATCGACATTTGAGGGGCTGAGACCAAGCACTCTCCGATACATTCTCCACCGAGCTGCCAGAATCCCAAAGGCGCATGCCCTGGACAGTCGTTTGTTGAAAATCCTTACAGGCCTTGGCAATGGCAGCTGGCGTCCAGCGTAGGGCCTCATGAGGTTGGGCCTCAAAGGCAAGACGAAGTCCCATGTCTTCAGCCCCAGGGAGCGATGCAGGTGGTGGAATCTCCAGGGTGCCATCCTGAAGAGCCTGGCCAAAGGCAGAGTCCTGGAGGGTCCCACCATCACTTCCCTTGCTGTAAGCACCAACATCGATGACACAGAAACAGTAGTTGGCATCTACAACAGCCATGAGTACAACTGAATATGTACCCTTGTAATTGTAGAATTGCGAACCCGAGCACGGTGGAGCCTGGATTACTTACATGTTTCCCGTCAATGGTGCCAAGACAGTTGGGGAAATCCCACCTCTCCAGGAACTCAGCAGCGATGGCCCTCCAGTCTTACCCCTTGGGGACAGGCATGTATTCGCTGACCAGACGGTCCCAAATGGCTTGTGCCACAGAGGGGACAATGCCTGCCACCGTGGACCGTCCAACTCGGACTCTGAATCCGATGGTCCTGTAGGAGTCCCCTGTCGCCAGGAATCTGAAATATACAGTTCATTCGGAAAGTTTTCAGACCCCTTCACTTTTTCCACATTTTGTTACGTTACAGCCTTATTCTGAAATGGATTCAATTGTTTTTTCCCCATCATCAATCTACACACAATACCCCATAATGACAAAGCAAAAACAGGTTTTTAGAATTTTTTGCAAATGCATGGACCCTATTGTCTTCAATGTAGAACCTTTTCCTCAAAGGGTTCTACCTGGAACCCAAAAAGGGTTCTACGTGGAACCAAAAAGGGTTATCCTATGGGGACTGCTGAAGAACCCTTTTGGAACCCTTTTTTCTAAGAGTGTACATGATTCCAATAAGAATGTAATGAATGACTAACGGTCCTGGAGAAGACTAGCCTACCTTCTTCAGGGCATAAGGCACGCCAACTTTCTTTTCATTTGTTAACATTTAAACATAAAAAAATTATTGCCAAGAGTGTGAAAAGCTGTCATCAAGGCAAAGGGTGGCTATTTGAAGAATCTCAAATATATTTGATTTGTTTAACACTTTTTTGGTTACTACATGATTCCATATGTGTTATTTAATAGTTTTTATGTCTTCACTATTATTCTACAATGTAAAAAATAGTACAAATAAAGAGAAACCGTTGAATGAGTAGGTGTGTCCAAACTTTTGACTGGTAGTGTATGTTGCATCAAACAAGATATATCACAGAAGTACAAATAAATCAGTTTAATACAATGTGGATTTTGATAAAAGGGAACATTTTACAGAATTTACAGACATGTTTTAAATTAATAATCTCAGAACATTAGGTAACACCTTTTTGATCTGGAAGTTATGTATGAAGGAAAACAAAGACAAAACAAGTTAAATTAAAACCATATCTGACTGATAGATACAATGCCATTACTGAGAGAAAGAAAAATGACAAAAATAATACATTATGGCAGTTTTAGCTTAAAAGTTGAACATATACGCCCCATTCCAACACTTCAGAGATGCATGTTTCCTTTCATCTCTCCATGAAGATTCCACTGATCTAGCCTGGGTGGGTAGGTGGAAACAATATGGCTGAGCACTTGCTTTCACCAACCCATTTCTGTCACATCAGTGATCAACTAGAACGTTAGGGGGGAATACAGATGGATGGCCGCAAGGGTTGCATCTTAATAGTCTATAAAGATCTCCTTTACTTTATCTGCATTGATATGAAAGAACTGGACAGGTGAGAGTAAATTTCAGAGTGGCATCCACTACATTCCCTCATCAGTCCTGAGTTTACAGGACAGTGCAGATAAAAGTTGACGAGGAGAGGAAGCCATGTTAGACTATTGACACGCACCCATAAAGTATTCGAACAGGGCCATAACCTAACCTGATGGTCTTACAAGGTAATTCATTTCAAACTGTGTTTCCCACAATGCACTGCATACAGAGGGGTACCAGGTGTGGGTGGTGACACCAGAAACCATGGAGTTTCTATGCGCTTCATGTCTTGACATTTTTACTTCAACTGAAATGTTCATATTTTGTCTCCAATAGATTGGATTCCCCTCAGGTCTTCAGTCATAAGGTAGTGCTGTGTCAAATATTATCCACACCACCTAGAAGTAGACAGAGAGGGTTAGCCATGGATAAAGGACATTTTCACATAAGGCATCAGCATCTGATTCAGATCTTGAGAGACTATTGGCTATTTTCAGTACTTATGAAAACAAAGTGTTTTTGTTCAATTCTTAGAACCGCACAAGCGTACCGAAACCATGCAAAAAAGTTCACATGAAACTAAACAAAATAAACAAACTCTTAATAGAGCATCACATAACGCTGTTATTTCAGATGTGTTAGTGCTGCTGCTAACCTGGAACAAAAGCATGCAAAAACTTTCCACTGACTACAAAATACAGTGCATTTGGTTAAGTATTCAGACCCATTGACTTTTTCCACATTTTGTTACGTTACAACCTTATTCTAAAATGGATTAAATTGTTTTTTTCCTTATCAATTTACACACAATACCCCATAATGACAAAGTAAAAACAGGTTTTTTTAAATGTTTACAAATGTATAAAATAAAAAATAAAATGAAATATTACATTTACATAAGTATTCAGACCCTTTAATCAGTACTTTGTTGAAGCACCTTTGGCAGCGATTACAGCCTCGAGTGTTCTTGGGTATGACGCTACAAGCTTGGCACACCTGTATTTGGGGAGTTTCTCCCATTCTTCTCTGCAGATCCTCTCAAGCTCTGTCAGGTTGGATGCGGAGCGTCGCTGCACAGCTATTTTCAGGTCTCTCCAAAGATGTTCGATCGGGTTCAAGTCCGGGCTCTGGCTGGGCCACTGAAGGACATTCAGAGACTTGTCCCGAAGCCACTTCTGCATTGTCTTGGCTGTGTGCTTAGGGTCGTTGTCCTGTTGGAAGGTAAACCTTCAGCCCAGTCTGAGGTCCTGAGGGCTCTGGAGCAGGTTCTCATCAAGGATCTCCCTGTACTTTGCTCCGTTCATCTTTCCCTCGATCCTGACTAGTCTCCCAGTCCCTGCCGCTGAAGAACATCCCCACAGCATGATGCTGCCACCACCACGCTTCACCGTAGGGATGGTGCCAGGTTTCCTCCAGACCTGACACTTGCCATTCAGGCCAAAGAGTTCAATCTTGGTTTCATCAGACCAGAGAATCTTGTTTCTCATGGTCTGAGAGTCCTTTAGGTGCCTTTTGACAAACTCCAAGCGGGCTGTCATGTGCCTTTTACTGAGGAGTGGCTTCCATCTGGCCACTCTACCATAAAGGCCTGACTGGTGGAGTGCTGCAGAGATGGTTGTCTTTCTGGAAGGTTCTCCCATCTGCACAGAGGAACTCTGGAGCTCTGTCAGTGGGACTATCGGATTCATGGTCACCTCCCTGACCAAGGCCCTTCTCTCCGATTGCTTAGTTTGGCCGGGCGGCCATCTCTAGGAAGAGTCTTGGTGGTTCCAAACTTCTTCCATTTAAGAATGATGGAGGCCACTGTGTTCTTGAGGACCTTCAATGCTGCAGAAATGTTTTGGTACCCTTCCCCAGATCTGTGCCTCGACACAATCCTGTCTCGACCTCATGGCTTGGTTTTTGCTCTGACATGCACTGTCAACTGTGGGACCTTATATAGACAGGTGTGTGCCTTTCCAAATCATGTCCAATCAATTGAATTTACCACAGGTGTACTCCAATCAAGTGGTAGAAACATCTCAAGGATGATCAATGGAAACAAGATGCACCTGAGCTCAATTTCCACATGTACATATTACTTCAACTACCTCTACTAGCCGGTGCCCACGCACATTGACTCTGCACCGGTACCCCCCTGTATATATAGCCTCCCTACTGTTATTTTATTTTACTTCTGCTCTTTTTTCTCAACACTTTTTTGTTGTTGTTTTATTTTACTTTTTTATTAACAATAAATGCACTGTTGGTTAAGGGCTGTAAGTAAGCATTTCACTGTAATGTCTGCACCTGTTGTATTCGGCGCATGTGGCCAATAAAATTGATTTGATTTGATTTGAATTTCGAGTTTCATAGCAAAGGGTTTGAATACTTATGTAAATAAGGTATCCGTTTGATATATTTTTATAAATTAGCAACAAATGAACAAAAAAAAACATTTCACTTTGTTATTATGGGGTACCGTGTGTAGATTGATGAGAAAATAATATTTAATCCATTTTAGAATAAGGCTGTAACGTAACAAAATGTGGAAAAAGTCAAGGGGTCTGAATACTTTCCGAATGCACTGTACATATGATGCCTGCATCATCAGTTCCACAGAGGTTTAACAAACTATTGTGTGCGTACCTGGAATAATGCAAAGGATGTCATGAAACCTTCTTTGGTGAGCTCCCACATTCCACCATACTCGTCCTCGTCCACCTGCTGAAAGCTACTGAAGTACATATACAGGACCCCCGCATTGATGACACAGAATCTGGAGGACGAGGTGGTAGTGTTAGACTGAGATGGAGTCATTGAAGTTAGGGCATCGTTTCTGTTGTTTGGAAACAACCAGGAAGGGAACAAGAGAGGGAAGCTAGACTCAAAATATGTTTATGTTGTAAAATAAATGTTGTTGTAAAATAAGAAGAGTAACACTGCAATAGGTTATTGCGTCAAGGGGACATATCGTGGAGAGATGTGTCAAACCAGTGTTCTCTGCTGGTCCTGCAGGCCCACATTGAGTGCAAAAAGAGTGCAGGCATTTTGATCATGGATTCTAGATGATACTTACATGGCTACTTCAAGGAAGACTTTTAGTGGTGCAACGCCCCATATTACTCCAAGGATGACAGCGATGATCTGCCGAATCCAGTAGATCACATCTAAAAACTCATCCTGGAGAGTAAGAAGAAGGAAAGGAGAAACATTAATAAGTTGTTTCAAACAAGAACAAGCAATATCATACAAATGAATAACATGCAATCATATTGATACAGTATCCTATATGTATCTCCTGCAGATAGTAGCCGTAGCTACGAGTGTAGTGTAAACACTGGAGCTATATGGTAAGCTTGAGAGCTGACAGCTACTGTGCTAACCTTGCTGTTGACTACTCTTGAATTCAGTCACTGAGGAGGGGTGAAACTAATGCCTACTCAAAGATCAAAGGGTCTGATGTATTAGCGTTAATCTTGACTGTAGCAAAGGCCACGACACAACCCTTATCTTGACACTGAGACACTTGGGAAAATACAATATCATAGGAGTCACAACTATCGTTGGCACTTGAGAGAGAGGGCAATCAGATCCCCCAGCCATGTCCCGAGCCTAGCTGACCCCGACATTACCCGTACCATTAGCATCATTGCAGTAGAATTAGCGTCCTGGCAGCAACATTGACTACCGTTTTTTTTTTTTATGTTGACTTCAAAATAGAAGTCTGCAGTAAAAAGCTGTGTATGATACGAAATCAATATATTTTTTAAGCTTTGCATAGTCATAGTGCATGTTAAAATTGATACTAAATTATAACTACATCAAGGAAAAATCGAAACTAAAGATAATTACTATTTTATATAATATAAAGAATAAGGTGTAGCGCATTGAGAAATGGCTGTTTTTAAGATGTACAGTGGGGAAAAAAAGTATTTAGTCAGCCACCAATTGTGCAAGTTCTCCCACTTAAAAAGATGAGAGAGGCCTGTAATTTTCATCATAGGTACACGTCAACTATGACAGACAAAATGAGAAAATTTTTTCCTGAAAATCACATTGTAGGATTTTTTATGAATTTATTTGCAAATTATGGTGGAAAATAAGTATTTGGTCAATAACAAAAGTTTCTCAATACTTTGTTATATACCCTTTGTTGGCAATGACACAGGTCAAACGTTTTCTGTAAGTCTTCACAAGGTTTTCACACACTGTTGCTGGTATTTTGGCCCATTCCTCCATGCAGATCTCCTCTAGAGCAGTGATGTTTTGGGGCTGTCGCTGGGCAACACAGACTTTCAACTCCCTCCAAAGATTTTCTATGGGGTTGAGATCTGGAGACTGGCTAGGCCACTCCAGGACCTTGAAATGCTTCTTACGAAGCCACTCCTTCGTTGCCCGGGCGGTGTGTTTGGGATCATTGTCATGCTGAAAGACCCAGCCACGTTTCATCTTCAATGCCCTTGCTGATGGAAGGAGGGTTTCACTCAAAATCTCACGATACATGGCCCCATTCATTCTTTCCTTTACACGGATCAGTCGTCCTGGTCCCTTTGCAGAAAAACAGCCCCAAAGCATGATGTTTCCAACCCCATGCTTCACAGTAGGTATGGTGTTCTTTGGATGCAACTCAGCATTCTTTGTCCTCCAAACATGACGAGTTGAGTTTTTACCAAAAAGTTATATTTTGGTTTCATCTGACCATATGACATTCTCCCAATCCTCTTCTGGATCATCCAAATGCACTTCAGACGGGCCTGGACATGTACTGGCTTAAGCAGGGGGACACGTCTCGCACTGCAGGATTTGAGTCCCTGGCGGCGTAGTGTGTTACTGATGGTTGGCTTTGTTACTTTGGTCCCAGCTCTCTGCAGGTCATTCACTAGGTCCCCCCGTGTGGTTCTGGGATTTTTGCTCACCGTTCTTGTGATCATTTTGACCCCACGGGGTGAGATCTTGCGTGGAGCCCCAGATCGAGGGAGATTATCAGTGGTCTTGTATGTCTTCCATTTCCTAATAATTGCTCCCACAGTTGATTTCTTCAAACCAAGCTGCTTACCTATTGCAGATTCAGTCTTCCCAGCCTGGTGCAGGTCTACAATTTTGTTTTTGGTGTCCTTTGACAGCTCTTTGGTCTTGGCAATTGTGAAGTTTGGAGTGTGACTGTTTGAGGTTGTGGACAGGTGTCTTTTATACTGATAACAAGTTCAAACAGGTGCCATTAATACAGGTAACGAGTGGAGGACAGAGGAGCCTCTTAAAGAAGAAGTTACAGGTCTGTGAGAGCCAGAAATCTTGCTTGTTTGTAGGTGACCAAATACTTATTTTCCACCATAATTTGCAAATAAATTCATAAAAAATCCTACAATTTGATTTTCTGGAAAAAATTTCCTCAATTTGTCTGTCATAGTTGACGTGTACCTATGATGAAAATTACAGGCCTCTCTCATCTTTTTAAGTGGGAGAACTTGCACAATTGGTGGCTGACTAAATACTTTTTTTGCCCACTGTATGTTATGTATATGGCTGATGCTTAAAAGTGTTTATTGGTTCTTACAGATCCTATCACGGTTTTAATGTATTTCCAGTTCGCTTGAGATGTATTCCTGGATGATTATATAGCCTAGTGGCTTATAGCCTCGTGCCTTATCCTAGTTCTGTGAAACCATAACGCTATGTGCTGTGCCCAGCATTTGTCGTACTGTTGCTAATAAATACTAATTATTTGGTCATTCAGAGTTTGTGACAATTTACCCATGCAACAGAACAATGCAGTACACTGTATATGGAATACATATTTGACTGTAGAGGAAAAGGTGTGCTACCTGTTTCAGCTAAGGTGAGGTAGAAAAGACTCATTAGGGACTCTACTAACCAAATATGTTTCGTTTTGGAGAGGGATTGTTTCGTACGGACTGTTTCTGGCTTTTTACTCCGCCCCCCCCCCCCATAGCCCCCAATGCAATACACTGAATTGGACTGTCTACTACCCGTCTCAGCTAAAATGGGGTGGAAATGACTCAGTAGGTTGAGTTTTAACAAAAAGCTAAGTCATAGGAAGGGTTGCTGGACTTTTACTGTGGTCGAACAGCTTAAAACAGGGTGACTGGACACTATACGGTTCAATATAGTACAGTGTCATAGGACGCATATATTGTCATAGCAAAATACCTTATCATGTAAAATACAAATATTATATAATCTTCCTTTTGGTGGACACTTTGTAAAAAATACAACATACAATATGTTTATTGAAAAAGTCAAGAGAGATGCAAGTACATTTGGTCAAAAAAAGCATACTTTATTCATAACAAATATCACAATGAAGGTAATTCATCAAATTGATCATCAACAGTTACACAGAAGTTTCAAATAAGTTTCAAGTGTTATTGTCACATGTACAAGTACAGTGAAATGCTTATTTGCTAGATCTTTCCCAACAATGCAGTATTCAATATCAAATATTGTAAAGTAGATTTTTTTTCTTTTACACACGAGAAAGAAAGTAAGCTATTTACAGGGTCTGTGCCAGTACCAAATGTACAATGTGCAGGGATACTGGAGTGGTTAAGGTAGATATGTACATGTAGGCAGTGGAGGAGGAGAAAGTGACTGGTAGCAAAGTGACTGTAATCCATATACAGTGATTTGCATTGTGGTCAATGGAATTTGAGTTAAAGGACAGCAACACCCCATATAATTCAGTGGCCCATGAAATAACAGCATATATACATACTACAGACCCTACTGACTATTCCCTACAATACTTTTACTGCAGCATCTAGAATAGTTTTTGCTCTATAAACCAATATGTAAATTATTTCATTTACAGTGATTTGCATTGGGGGAATTTGACCTTGGAACGTTTCAAAACTCAAACTTAATGCAAATGTCACTTAAATATGAACAAACATGAATCATTGTTCATGTTTAGAAAATTATTTTTCATATCATGAATAAATAGAGGTTATTGACACTTTTGTACTTTTACGTGGGGGACTTCTTTTGATAATAGCCGAAATTCCGTGACCCGGAAGTACGATGATGTGTCTCACAGGAGAAAGCATCCGAGTGAGCAAAACAGTGCCCCTCGGTAGGTTTTTTTGGGAAATCGGCGTATGCTCACGTGGAAGGGGCGATGGAAGACGCAGGCCAAGATGTCGACACAAGTCCAGAGGATAGAATAGACGCCGGAAGGGAAAGGACGGGGAAAATGGAGTCCTTTGAGAAGGCAAGAAACCGATGGTGGTTAGGAGAAATGCATAAGGAGACGTATACTTGGATGAATGGAGGGAAAAGAGAGGCAGAGGAGGTCTAAGAGAGAGAGGGAGGAAGACTGAGTTTGAGTCTGAAAAAAATGGCGGGAAAAAGGGAGAAGGTTTGTTAAAGAAGAGTGGTAGGAAATGTAAGCAAAGTGAGCTGAAGACAGGAGGAGAAATGGAAGTGAATGAGGGTGAAGTATCGGAGGTGGTAGGTGTGGTGAAGTGCTCGGAGCCAGAAGCTTGCACAGAGGGTAAGGATAAAGATGAGTCTGTGACAGTAGGAGTGAAGTTTGTGGAAAAACTGGATCCTTGCCTTTTGGCTGATCCATTTGTGGTTTCAACAAGGGTGAAAAAAGCGTTGGGTATAGTGGAATCGGTGAGGGTAACCAGAAGTGGTCTAGTGATAATTATTTATGTTTCTGTTGGGCAGAGGGAGAAGGCGCTCAGAGTTAAACAAATGGAGGAAAGAATTGTGAATTGTTTCGCTCTCAAGAAAAGGGCGCCATTGAAAGGAGTGATTACTGGGGTAGCAGTAAATGTAAAAGTGGATCAACTGAAGGAGAAGATTCCCGGTGTGTGTGATGCTCGTCGTTTGGTGCGACGCAAACAGGGTGGCGAGAGTGGGGAAACAGAAGAGTCATTGTCTGTTCTTTTGAGTTTTGAAGTTGAGTCTTTGCCTGACAAAGTGAAATTAGGACATATAAGTTATCCTGTGCGAGCTTATGTGCCGAGTACATTACGATATTACAGGTGTCAAACTTATGGGCATGTGGCAGCAGTATGTAGGAGGGAGATTCCAAGGTGTGAGAAGTGTGCAGAAGGGCATGAGACAAAGGAGTGTGAAGCAGTGGGGAAAGTGGTGGTATGTGCTAATTGTAGGGGTGGCCATGGAGCTAGGGATCAGACATGTCCAGTGCGAGAGAAGCAGGTTGGGGTTTCCAGGGTAAGAGTAGAGAAGAAATTGTCATATGCGGAGGCGGTGAAGAAAGTAGAGGAAGAGCGGTCAAGGGGGGGGAGTGGTGAGAGTAGGAGATAGGTACCAGTACAGTGGGATAGGCAAGCAAGTTATATATGTTTCAGTAAGATTGGATTTTTAGTGTTTATAGCAATGGTTATTAATTGTACTGCAGGGATGGAACGTAAGTCAAAGAAAACTGAGGTTGTGGTGGCAGCTGCAGCTGCAGAGAGATATTTGGGTGTGCGAGACTTGACAGCAGAAGAGTTACAAAGAGTGTTAAGTGGTGATGTCCCATCATTTCAGGTTGAGGGCATGAGGTAGGAGTGAGTATATTTAAATAGTGGAGAAGGGTGGGGTTAATTATTAGCAATAGTTTTGAATTTGTGTGTGTAGTGTTAGATGGTAGGGTATTTCTTTGCTTTGTTTTATTTTATTTTTCAAGGAAAAGAAAAGGGAGTTGTACTCCAGTCTAGTAGGTAGCGGTAATGCAACAAATTGGATGCCTACCTCATTGAAGAAGAAGAAGACCCGGAAGTACTTTTTGTGTGTTCCTGACGAGAGGTTGATACCCGATCCCGTTAACAACCAGCAAGCGAAGTGGTTAGCTCCGCGTTAGCATGCTAGGTAGCCGTCTGGCTAATCAGGCGAGGGGAACCAATTTGAAACTGCAAAATATCCAACTTAGTTTCAAATAAACATTAAAAACCACCATATAGTTATAATCAGATGAGCTAAACCAACCTTCTCTTCCCATAGAGCGGTACTGTTGAAGACTTTGACCCACGTGGACTGCTTTACACCCCCATTGGCGAGATTAACTTCTTCTTTCCTCTTTGAACCGTTCGTCATTCTCTGCTGTTACCACCGTGTTCTGCTGACGTTAAATAAAGCCCCACGTGCCACAAACCTTACGGTGGTCTTATATGGTTCCCGTCGTATATTTCAATCGATTACTATTGTCAAATGTTTAGAAAGGGCTAGGGAATAACCTCACTGCTGACCCGACGGACTGCTTTCGCGGAGGCAGGGTTGCCAGGTCGTGCTAAGATGTCCTGCCAGTGACAATTTAAAGGGGAATGGGAACACTAGGATTTAGAACGCCAGCTAACTCTAACTGTAAATCGCAATATTGGCATTGTTGCGTCACTGGTAGAAGAGAAAATGTTGGAACTCCCAAAAATGGCTGACTTTACCGAGTGGCTCCGAGTCGGATAATTAGTTTATTACAGATAATGAAATAATGTTAGTTAGGGAGCCAAGAAGATAATGAGTTTTTTACAGAGAATGAAATAATGTTAGTTAAGGTGTCACGGTTTCGGCCGAGGCTGCTCCTTCTCCTTGCTCGGGCAGGCTTCGGCGGTCGTCGTCCCCGGAGTACTAGCTACCACCGTTGTATGTTATCGATGTTTGTTTGGTTTTGTCTTCTTTGTACACCTGTTTCCTTTTAGTGTTAATTATGTCTCCTATAAGTTTCTCGTTTTGTTAGTCGTGTGTTGTGTGTAATTGTTCCGCCTGTCTTTTGGTGCTGCTCGTTTTCGCATTTTTGTATATTTAGGATAGTCGCACTGTGTTTCGTGCGCTATTGCATTTTGGTGTTTTACGCACTGCTGCGTATAGTTCGCCTCCTGATTAGTTGAGGCCAGTGTTTATTTTTTCGTTTAGTAAAGTCGGTTGGACGAAGCTTCTGTGTCCTGCGTTTGACTCCTACACCACATCCACGTCACTGACGCTTCTGACATAAGGAGCCAATAAACCTGCTGAAGCCGTTCATATTTGAGCCGATCGTTGCCTCAGATCAAAGAGTTTGTTCTTGTAGCAATAACAACACAGATTTATCGCCTGAAACGCCTCAGCTAGAGGGTCAGCGCAGCGGTGACACAAACTGTTGTGAGTCCGGATGCTGCCAGATAATGGCTAGAGAGTATGTGTGTGTGTGTTGTAGAGAGATAGTGGCGATACAGCACAAAATCCCAGTCAGAGGTTCCTGTCAGTCTGTCTGGATGGCGATGTATTTATTGGACGTGTCACTAATCCTTATGAAGGATTTCCTGGCATAAGAGGTTACTCGACCAGTCAGCAGCCGATATGCCAGTGAAATGTTGCTTGATTATAAGTTGTTTAAAGGTAATATCAGTAGTGGGTAGGTGCTCAATATATATAATCAGTATCCGATAACGCTGTTTATCACGAGCACTGTTTGGCGCGATGGTAACACATTTCCCAGCTAGCACAGTGGATCTGGGCCGATTCCGGCTGAGAGTCAGAATCGGCCGAAGTCATGTGGCCCGAGTCCGGCCCGCCTTCGCAGTATTACTTATGGCTAGGATGCGGGGATTGAGCTCGGGCCGATTCCGGTGTGAGTTATCTGGCCCAAATGTATTACTTGGGGCTCGGGCCGATTGTGGCTACTCTCTGGCAGATGATTACACGGGCTGCTTTATATAATTAACATTTCATTATTCATTTATTTTTTCCATAAAATGGTAGTTCAAATAGAATTGATATGGAAGACAAATAATTTTAGATTTCTGCTTTGAAAGTCATTTTGCGCGGACGTATTCAGTATTGCTACTCGTTGAGTTGAAACGTCCAGAGCAGATCTACTTCCTGTCTACCAGCGCAGGAGTTAATGAGGCGCTAGCTATTTCAACTGTCATAAACTGTCACTAGAGCTCGACCATCAAGACGGTAGGTAGACCCCTTTTGTTAAGATGGAAACAAAATAGCTAGCCAGCTAATTATTGTTATTTTGTGACAGTTCTAATGTTAAAGGTAATCTATTTATGGTATTTTGTTTGTGGTATCGTTTGCTAAATGGTCTGGTAAAATGATCGGGAAATCAGTACGTTCACGTTATGTGTTTCTGTGATTGTGTTTACAATATAACGTTAAACTTAAACGGTAAATAATATTTCTTATCCAATATGGACATTAAGTAACAGGATATTTTTGTAATAATATTCTGCAAAAAAGTTATTTTACTATCGCTTGTGAAAAGGCAGGTTGCAGTAGCCTAACGTTAATTTATAGGACTGAGTAGGATATCAACACATAAAATGACCAACGGTAACGGATTTCTAACATGTTTCATAATCAGCAATCAGGTTGTGATGTCTGTGATGTTAATTTACAGCAAACTGCAAACCAACCTCTTCTGATTAATCAAGGTGAGTGTTCCCTGAAAATGACAAGTTTTTGAATGTTAATGCAGTCACTTTGACACCTAGAAATCTCTGCTCTGTCTCTCTAGCCTGCCAGCTAATTCCAGCAGTGGTCTCAGCTCTTCCTCCTGCAGCCAGCCAGCTATTCAGCCAACAAAGGTGATTAAGGTTCCTAAGAATTAATGCAAGTCGCTATACAGCTGTGGAAAAAATTAAGAGACCGCTGCAAATGTTTCTTAAATCAGCATCTCTACATGTATGACAGCCATTTCATTCCAGTGTCTGTTGAATTCCAACACAGGCACACCTCATTCTGCTGAATGAGGTACTGATTAGGTGATCACATTAACCAAATCTTATTTAACGAGGAAAAGTATAAAAACCACTGCTGTGGTCATCGCTATCCGCTTGCAATAGGACCAGCTGGATGGCAAAAACAGTGCTAATAGTACCTCAAAAGTAATATTAATCAAAAAATAACTATTGACCATGCCAAAAGAGTTGAAAAGGAAAGTTTTGAGTGAGGAAATGAAGGGTTCAATTCTGGCTTTACTAGCAGAGTGATACAGTGAGCTTCAGGTTGCTTCTATCCTTAAAATTTCAAAGACGGCGGTTCATAAGAACAAGGTCAAGCAGCAGACATTGGGGACAACAAAGCTACAGACAGGCAGAGGGTGAAAACGACTCTACTGACCGGGATGACCGCCAACTCATTCGAATGTCACTCAACAACTGTAGGATGACATCAACTGACCTACAAAAAGAATGGCAAGCGGCAGCTGGGGTGAAGTGCACGGCGAGGACGGTTCGAAACAGGCTCCTAGGGGCAGGGCTGAAGTCATGCAAAGCTGAAGTCATGCAAAGCTAGAAAAAAGCCCTTCATCAATGAGAAGCAAAGACGAGCCAGGCTGAGGTTTGCAAAAGACCATAAGGATTGGACCGTAGAGGACTGGAGTAAGGTAATCTTCTCTGATGAGTCCAATTTTCAGCTTTGCCCAACACCTGGTCGTCTAAAGGTTAGACGGAGATCTGGAGAGGCCTACAAGCCATAGTGTCTTGCACCCACTGTGAAATTTGGTGGAGGATCAGTGATGATCTGGGGGTGCTTCAGCAAGGCTGGAATCAGGCAGATTTGTCTTTGTGAAGGACGCATGAATCAAGCCACGTACAAGGTTGTCCTGGAAGAAAACTTGCTTCCTTTTGCTCTGACATTGTTCCCCAACTCTGAGGATTGGTTTTTCCAGCAGGACAATGCGCCATGCCACACAGCCAGGTCAATCAATGGATGGAGGACCACCAGATCAAGACCCTGTCATGGCCAGCCCAATCTCCAGACCTGAACCCCATTGAAAACTTCTGGAATGTGATCAAGAGGAAGACGAATGGTCACAAGCCATCAAACAAAGCCGAGCTGCTTGAATTTCTGCGCCAGGAGTGGCATAAAGTCACCCAACATCAATGTGAAAGACTGGTGGAGAGCATGCCAAGACGCATGAAAGCTGTGATTGAAAATCAGGGTTATTCCACCAAATATTGATTTCTGAACTCTTCCTAAGTTAAAACATTACTATTGTGTTGTTTAAAAATGAACATGAACTTATTTTCTTTGCATTATTCGAGGTCTGACAACACTGCATCTTTTTTGTTATTTTGACCAGTTGTCATTTTCTGCAAATAAATGCTCTAAATGACAATATTTTTATTTGGAATTTGGGAGAAATGTTGTCAGTAGTTTATAGAATAAAACAAAATGTTATTTTTACCCAAACACATACCTATAAATAGTAAAACCAGATAAACAGATAATTTTGCAGCTGTATATGCCCTTTAGTGCTCCGGCCCTCAATGTCAGCGTTTGGCAGAAATTACTGCGAAGTATTTATAGTATAGTGTGACTTCAAACATCCGGCGAAGGTGTACTGCAAACGTGTCAAGATTTCGGACATCTATCCAACAAGAGCAGTCTACACTTAATGTAGAAATTGCTGCTGTTCCTCAGACATTTTATATGTCCAATGAGGCCGCTGAGGAAATTTTGTTCAGTGGTCAGGACTTTGAGGATGAACTGTTTGTGGATGCTTTGATGGACACTGCAGGTGTAGGAGAAGGTGGAGGTCAGGGTGAGGTTGATGCTGAGGAGAACGTTGATGATGAGGGTGATGATGTCGAGGAGATGGTTGATGATGAGGTTGAAAGTCCAACGGACCGTTTCAAAGGCTACTTGGTGAATTGGGCTCTTGAATATGGAATAACAAGAAGAAGGAGACCGAAGTTGTGCCTTCATCATGGGTCCAGGATGGCATGAGCTACTGGCCCCCTTATACATCCACAGAATGCTGCACAAGGGCAGTGAAACGTCAAGAAGCACCTGACGAAACATGGGGTTTGTTTGATGTGAACATCAGGTACACTAGAGGTGAGTTACTGTTATATTTGCAGTCAACTATTTATAAATGACATCAATCACCTGAGACAACAATATGTATCTGCAATCTAAACACAATACATTAATATTCCCTTAGAGACACATATGAAGAGGCTCGCCGTAAGCTTCCTATGGCTGTGGTCCAATCTGATCTTCAGACTGAGGATGATGACCACCCTGCATATATGAAGAGAAAAGGAAGGTATAACAAATATGATTTGAAAAAAATAACATTTCTCAGTGGATGGCTTAAATATCCAACATATGTTTACTTCACTGGTCGTTCTTATGAGTTCAATAACCTTATATTTTTAACATCAGGGGCACAAATACACAAATATTCAGTGCCACTGAAAGTGAGGATGAGGAGCCAAAGGAAAGGTTTCCACTGAAGGGCCAGTCAAACACCTCTAAGGGTTTACCACCTGCACCAGTTTTCAGA